ACGCCAGCTTGCTAATCAGAATAAAATTAGGGGTCACCGAACATAAACAAGTTTGAACAGTCCTATAAGGTGATATATACATATACACATATGCAAAAATATGATAACGTATTTAAATTTAGCCCTGCGCCAGAAACTAACGTGACGGGATTATATAGGCCTACCGCAATGCACGCGTCAGTTCAATAATTCTATCTGGAACAAAAACATTCCCGATTTTTCGAAGCATTACATAACAAAACATGAAATGAGCGGATTTTTTCAATAGTTCAGTGCAATATCGGCTTATCAAGAACGACTCAGTTCCATGGAGTTATTTTACAGTATACCCCGAAGATATTTAAAATTACAATGATAAAGGATTCCGACTCGACCAGGATTCGATACTATGGCCATCTATTTAAGAGTCTAAGATTTTCCCATGAGGTAAACAGAATTTCACTAACACATTATCTAAATACGATATATTAACAACGCACAACTTTTTAAGTTATAATTGTAAACTTTTTGTCTCTCTCTTCTTATCGTAGTAAAGATTCCCCGAATGTAATCTGCATTTAACTTCTTCGTGAGGGTAATTTTTATGTGTTACTGTCGTTCCCAAATATTAATAATTTCACTCGTTCAATGTACGGTCTAAAGTTGAGTGCGTGTTGTTGAAATTTTTCCATTTCCCCTTAATTGTTCTCACAGTCATGAAACTTAGTAACTTTACATATAACTCTCAGTCTACAGAGACCTCAAAATAACTTCCATAAAACTGATGAACTAGACATGCATGCGTACCAACCAACTACAACTGGTATTTAAAACTAAATGTCTGCTAACGGCCGCTTGAAAAAATGCGACTGTTCCAGAGCCATCATATCGGTGGGAAAATCAAAATCGCCTACATTTACTAATTCCAAGCTCAAACTTAAGATATATTTTTATTCTTTTATTTTACTGCAAGCACACACACTTTACACGACTAAAATATAAAACAGTGATACATCAGCAGCCATTATACAGGCATCTGAAACTTAACTTTTTTAATTAGGAAATTTGAGATCGCACATCTGCGACTTTGATATGCCTGAACTACGGCTCCAGTAACTCGTTTCTTTCACGTCAGACACCAAACAACAGCAGATTAGAAGAACCTGAATTTAAACGGAATATAACGTACGTAACATGGGAGGAATTGAACTCAGTAAAGGGTTTCAATAACTATTAACACATGCATGCAAGTGGTCACTTATACGTCGAGAGTTTTTACAACGAATGTTAGATACTCCTTTTTACAAAGAATAGAGCCAATATCACTGAAAGGCAAAAGATCTTTTCACTTTAACAAAACATTTTAAAAATAGAAAAGAAAACAGATGCAATCGATGTGCTGTCAGTTGTGAGCTCGATATAGAGCTTATCGATCACGCTCAAAGGTTCTGCTGGCACCGGAGCGTCATGAGAGCTTTGAAGGCAGTCGCTGTAGCAGTCTGAGGGATCGAAGTGAATTGAGGCCGTTGAAATTTCCAATACTTCCACGCTCGTAGTTAATTCTAGCGCGTGCGAACTAGGAAAAAACTCAGCTTCCTCACACAAGTGCACTTTGTACGTTTCAATTTCAGGAACGACCGTTTGTTTACATGAGTTCTAAAGTGAAGTACAAGCAACAGAGTGATCAATTCATTTGTACAGAATCAACAACAACAAAGATAAACAAATGGCAGATACAAAAATTTCACGATCCAACGCACTTGTATAGGGACATAAGAAATGCAGAATTCATTTGTTTTATGACAATTTTGGCATAAATCAAACGTTTATTTGTTAAGATTGTAGACTATTAATGTATTGGGGATAATATAATTACCATAAAATAATAAAGAATTTCTCATGTTTATCTGTAAATAAACTGTTTCAGAAATAAGCATGGGCCTAGAGATTAGATGTGGTTTTACCTCCACGCCTTCTTTACGCCTTCAAAGTATAGTGAATACTCTTAGCAACGCTACAGGTCTACCAATCGTCGGCAAAATAAAAAATGTAAGAATATTGGTAATAAAGCTGTGCGAACATCTGACATGCATTCATTTTATATACAGACAACTTCTGCAAATGCGTCATTCCACTAACTACGCACATAAAGTAATGGGACGTTAAACACATCGAAACTCCATCATGCGAGAAAGGACATTTCATGGCAACTATCCATTCCTGCCTACCAGTGGAAAGCGATGGGAAAATCTACCACCTCTCAAATCACACTACCTAGATGCTAAGTCACATCCGCCACATGTTCGAATCTCCGTTTGTGAATTTAACACGTTCGAGATTCAGATGTTCGGTGGCGACATTAATCGGAAGGCAAAATACCTCTCTTTCCAACCGCATGGGGTAAGTGACATCCTACAGAACCTGATATTTTCTTAGGCCATCCATAAATTCCGGCTTCTTACGGAACTCGGAGGTTCAATGCCTCTTCTACATTCCACATTCCAACACCCTATGTAATATTAACCCAATAATTATTATTCCACCCATCTACTCGTAGACCTCCAACCAGATCAATCCTAAACGACATAAAGTTGAAGTAAACGCCTCTGATTTAAAATAATAGCAAATGCTTCCATATGTATTACTGTAGACATGTGATTCCCAAAGTGTGTACTCAGCAGTTCTGATAAATAATTCCCCTAATGACACTTCTCAGTGTAACTCCTGACTCAGCAGTGTGCGAAGTAATTTAGAATTATTTTAGATTATTCCTTATTCGTATTAGGGGGGAAAAATGCGAAGTGTTGAATATTAAAATTTCTATTACTGGAATCAGCAACAGAAATTATTCACTTACATAGCCTTGTTGTATTAAGAACATTATATGCTCACCGAACTGAAGACAAAAAATTAAACAGCTTTTTAGTTTTTCAGCACAGTAATCCCTCGCCCATCGCGTGGGCCACGTTCCTAAGAAACACAGCGACTGTCAAGACCGTGGTTGAACAAGACCTGGGTATTACAAGAAACTAGGGGTAAGGTGAAGTGGAGACCGTTGTTAACGCTCATAAAATTGTAACACAGTTGCCTGGTCCTTACAAGAATCAAGCTTAAAATAATAATAATTCACAGAAATCTTCATACTCACCGCTCTGAAAACCTCAAATCTTACAATAATAATTCAGTTCCTATTCCTTTATCAGTGTTTTCGCAAACAGCAAAGAGGCTATGAGAGACAAACACTAGTGTCGTGCAGTCCTTGCTGCCTTTATCATCAGAGTGATGGAGGCAGCAAGGACCTCTGACACAACCGTAGACTTTAACCAGAACCTCAAATCCCACTCAATAAAGCAAATATTGTTACTTGTCACAACATACAGATACTTAGATATCAAGTTTGCAACGTCTTTACATTTCGTGTATACTGAACTAAAACAGACATTCATGAGTCTATAGACCTACAGTGTGACGTATTTGCAGTGTGAATAGCTTTGCAACAACACATACGTGTTTGCAATAGGTGAACATCAAGGCCGAGGAATGCGAAATCCTACATAACATTTGGGACAAGTGTGCACACCATTAGAAGATTAGATTCTTATATATTGTAATAGAAACATTTTTCGATTTGGTGCATAATCTTATTCCTGCTTATCAATGCCAAAAAAATCGCTTCATTTATTATTACTCTATGCCAACAGAATTTATTGCAACCAGGCAGTATAGTACATCTACTGTTGACAGACAAACAGTAGATCGAAGATTTCTGTCTTCTGATGATGGAGGCAGTATGACCTCTGAAACGTTGGTAAACATCGACCAGACTACACAGCGCAACAACCCAGAAGACAGAAATCTTCATACTCACCGCTGTGAAAACCTCATATCATACAAACAGTAGATCGGTAAACAAACGCAACTTTCATACATTTAAATATGTTCCGGGAGTCACCGCATAAACACGCAGTTTGGAAAACTTTAAATCAACGGCAAAAAGAAAGCTGGAGTGAAATATTAAAATTACCCGCTTTTAAGGACAAACTAAGGCTCACTACCGTGTCCACAAGAATCCGCCATTTTCCCTGTCCTGGGTCAGATAAGTCCAGCGCACACCTTCAGATTCTATTTCTTCTTATCCATTTTACATAATCCTACAAAATAACCATATGTTTCTCAATGGGATCTTTCCTTCAGTCACCCAAAAGACAGCCCTTCTCATCTCCCCCATGCGTGCTACATGTCCCGTTAATCGCATCGCCAGCTTTGATTAGTAATTGCCTAGATCATCCACCATCTCAAACATTAAAGTAGCATGACACGTATTCTGAACCCTGTCAATCATAAAGGCTATGATGTGGAGCCTTTTTCTACCCTCCTCCAATCCTTTTAACCCATGTCCGTAAGATTCATCTTGATGTTATCAATTCAATTTATTTTCGGTCTTCTAAGAGGGCATTTCCCAGTCAAAATTATATCTGCATAGCCAACTCCTCCAACCTGGTACAGATCTCCAGGTTCTGAATTGCCAATAAAATTCTACGTGATAGAACTTTAACATCTAAACCATCCTGGAACAAAATTCTAATGCACACATCTCCATATGCCAAATTTAATTGGGATAAAGGATAAGGAGCCCGAATTAAAATCGTCAATGTTTCAAAATGGCGGTTTGAAATACACTTAGCCAGAACATATCCTTTTATAACTGTGCCTTTGATGCAACGACTATATAACATTATTCGATTCTAAAGGGTTCTGACGATTGATACTGCATTACAATCTGGATTACTGAGTTTTGACTTTATATATCGTCTGGTATTCTACAAACCACACAACGTATTGAACAGGTTCAGTCTTTAAAACGTTGTGTTTTTTTAGAATACCAGTCGATGGATAAAGTCCAAAAACTCAGTAATACAGACTAAAAAACATTACTGAACTTTAGAATTATCCTCACATACCCAAACAACATCCATATCCAACAGGAGAAAGATAGACAGATGCTTGTTGTGAAACAACTGTAACTTTTCACAATTTATTTTATTGCTTTAGTACTGGTGTTTCTCCATACATTCACATCAGGCAAAGGACGTCCGTCCTTTTATTTATACTTTCACCAAGTAATCCAAGCCACTAAATGAAATTCAAAACATGGTACACACAAAATTATTTACAACACAAAATCTGCAGCTGAAACTCTGGCGTCTTCACCCTTTAACAACTATCCCAGCGTTGCCCAGTCTAATGAAAAGAAAACTTCGTCCATTACAATTAAGACCGCAGCATCTGGTGTCTACATTGCTTCAGTGCCAAATACCGGAGTAAACTGAGCTATAAGGATACCTGCCCAGCCTCTCGGAATTAAAAATATGTAGACAGATAATAAACTTACCAACTTTTAAATGTTTCTGCGTACGTTTTATTAAAACTACGAACCTTTAACATGCGATAACGAGTCCATTATAATCTAATGTAGCCGTTTCAAAGGAGAATGTTTTCTTCTGCACAGAGCTTGCCAGTTAGCTCACCCTATCGAATTAGCAGACTCATGATTCATACGGTACATCATTTTTATACAAAACCATGAATATCAGGTTTTATTAACCACATTTTTCGATCCTTATAAAGAATGGATTTTCCACACTTGTACATACGCGTAGATCTACAAACCGCCACTGCAGGTCCGTCCTGCTCTAAAATGACCAAAAACAATGTTCATATGGTAGAGTAAAAACGGTAAAAGAATAAATACCAAGTGATACGTACTGTGGCACGTATATGCCACACTTTGTTTGCGATTGCATCAATAATGTGTGGATATATTTGACAATTACTCGTGATTACTTTCTCCGATAACACCCTTTGATGGAGGGAGTATGTGAGCTGTATGTATGGATTATTGTGGTTGGCATACCCACCGATACATCGCACAGGCAACGTTTCGTAAACCCCAAATAAAATCGCTGACGAAACAACGAACTGCAAATTACGAAACTCTACAGTAAAGAACCTGCAAAGTCCGTGGCTTTCACGTCTGAAATTCAACACTACCTTCTTCGACATGGCATACGAAATTCCCAAGAAACTAACAAAGTGCACCCCCATTCTTTGCCAAATCAACCTGCTTCCGTGTGCGCGATGTATCAAGGATCCGTTCTCAGAAAGACAGAGGATTTTTCTCTGCGCCACCGCGAGCCAAAACATGAAGCTCATCACTCACCTCAATTTATCACAAAGGTTCAAAGTCCACGATTGTCCTAAGACTCCACGGTCCGTCTTGGTGTAAATAAAGCTTAATCACAGGAGCAAATACACACACATCAGTATAGTGGCTGGCTGACGATACTTCAGTCCCTGGCACGGTCAGCGACTTTTCTTTGCATCGGCGTTCAGACCTGCTCTTGATGTTCCCTTACAATCCTACCCGATGAGTACAGGAGTATCTTTCCCCAGGGGTAAAATAGCCCGAGCTTGAAACTGGATATTCCCACCTAATGCTGCGCCAAAATGTCTGCCAGAAGTTTATCGATGTTCAGAAGCACCCCGATGACGGAGACACTTAGTGCCTCTCAAGCTTCAGGAAACTGTTACCACGGCGCAATATCCCAGAAGACAAGTATCTTCATCTAAAAAGTTTTATACAAAATTCGTTATCACTAATGTTATTTAGTATTTTAAGAAACAAATGTATTTTCCTGTATCATAGAACCACAAGGCGTGGCATATATTATCCGGTAAATAACAGTACTGACTTATACCTAAGTTCTCTTTCTGTATCTGATCACAAAGACTTACTTCCCCGTCACCAAACGCGCGTCTAAAAATCAAATGTGTAGCAACATGATGAGAACTACACGTACGTAGAACTCCTTAATGATACACAATTATACAACAGAAAAAGGGAGGTGGTTCACTGACGAAATGCATGGCGAGGTCTTAGCAGTGACCACTGTAGGTGAGAGAACATCTTTTACCATCATGAGCCCCTAATGTTGTGACATCCGCTTTCAAAAAGCTTAAAATTCAAGCCGCGAAAACAATGTGTAATACAGACTGTTAAGTTTTCCCCATTTTCAAGGCATCCGAACCTCTTCGAAAGTTTCCTCTTAAACAGAATTAAAATGGCAGAGATATTTGTAAATCCTATTGCAATACACGATACACGGACGACCTCCACGTGAACGTCCATATCAACACTTCCTAACGCGTGACAAATGACATGCACAACATAATACAGTCTGGCTTCACTAATTCCATGCGAATTGTTTTATAAAAGACTGCTGATGAAAGAAAGGTTACTAACTGAGCGGCTGCTAGCTTCTCAAGCACTCTGCCCCATGAAGTTCGTTAATGAAAAAAAGTGAGGTACCTTACCCACTGTATGAGAGAAATTATGCGATTATCGATATTGGCAGTTTCATTTTATTTTTCCTTGGGAAACTATTTACTCTGTTGGTTCTTTCACCAATCAATAATGTAATTTCTTTAAAACTACCCATATCACAGATGGCTGAGAATGACATACCTGCGCTGTTGGCTAAACCGTAGCCTGAACAAAAAATATTTCAGCTTTACACAATTGCCCTTTACGTAGCACTTAAATAATCAACATTCTTGTTAAAATTCCGTTGCTGACAAAACTTTTTTAAGTACTAGCATATACCAATTACGGGTCAAATATAACCCTCACAAATAGGATACTAAGAAATGCTGGAATGTTACTTTTTTTACTCAAAAATGCTATTTTAGCCTCTGCTGAAAATCCCCTTAAACAGGAACCAAAGCCATATTTCAGTGGTAGACATGATACAGCGAGACACCAAAAACAATAACGTCACGTTAGGGCTTCCACTTTCAGAGTTACTACAAATATCTACAGGCTAATAAATTTTGAAGTGATATAATTTTTTTCCCACTTAGATGAGTTTCTCACGGCTGCCTTGAGTTGTGATGTAATGCAGTCCAAATCAATTTATGAAATGATCGTATTTGGATGAATACACATTCACCTTGAATACCTACACTCCGAAATAACGTATCAAGGACCACTTAACCAGATACTTAAAGAATTTCAACTAAAATTTTGAATTTAAAATTAGAATAACTTTTAATATATTCCCTTTTCACTGTTCTTACAAAAAAAAAAACATCATCATTGAAGAGAGCCTCAAAATTTACAATACCCAGATTTTAACCCCCCCCCCCTTTTTCTTTCCATGGATCTCATACAACCAACTAGTCCTCCTTTTAGCCATGATATATTTAATTACAGCATTCACGTTGAAACGCTGAGAAAAATTATAATACCTCGTTCAGGATACCTCATCTCGGAATTTAACCAGTTACTTTATGGATAGAATTAAGTGTGCTGGCACAAGCCACATTATCAGCCAGTTCTGGCATTACTACACGTATTTTACTACGTTAGAATGGTCACTTTTACTACGGAAATCAGACATTCGATTAGAACAACAATTTTTCATGTACAAATATAGAAACACGTTTCAACACCAATGGGTCATCATCAGAACACAAATTTGTGTTTACAAAAATGTAAGCATTAATAAACATGGTACATTTTTCAGACTAAGGGAAAGATGGCTGTCTTCTGGGTTGTAGCACCGTACAGTTTGGTACAATTTTACCAATGTTTCAGAGGTCCTTGCTGCCTATATCAGACCTCATTGCCCTCATGATGGAAGCAGCAAAGACTTCTGAAACGTTAGTAAACTTCTAACATTGTACGATGCTACAACCCAGAAGACAGCTATCGTCGGACTCTCTGCCGTGAAAATCCCAAATCGTAATTATTCAGCCTTATTCGTTTTTGTATCCTGATTATGACACATTAGAGCTGAAACACGTAGCCAAATAAAATAATGTTTGGGTATTAAAAGTGAATACACTATCGTGATGTGTGAATATCTTATTTCCTTGATGTAACATACACAACAAGAATGCTCTCGTATAGAAAAAAAAGTGGATACTTTTTAATTTTACCGTATTACTCTGCGAAAAAGGTCAAAGCGTCAATGTACTGTGTAAAACCTTATCAGTATTAGCTAACATAAAAATCAACATACTTTTTGTTGTTTTTGGTCCTTATTTTTGCCAGTCAAAAGTGGCAGAAGCAAATGAAATTCACACTGACCTTGAGGTTGCATATCTTAAGGCTATGTGCGGAGGTAAAAGTCTTGTCATAATAAACGCTCACATTTTGTACACCACAAAATATCGCGGAGATGGTAAAGACTATAGTGTAATCACACCCAGCACTGTTAAACTGTCAGATGGAGACCAAGAAAAAATTCACATAAGAAATTTAAATATCGGTGAATAAAGAGTTAAAAGAGACGTGACTTCTACACAGCCCACATTGAAATAAATGTATAGTTAATTCTAAACCTCATGGCACTGTTATAAAAAATAATCAAAATGCATAAATTTCACATGAAAAATTTTGGCCACCAGGACAGAACTTATCATAAAATATACATACTAAGATCACATACCTCTGCAACCTTACAGCATCCTATGCTCATGATAACAGGTGCGACTTCTTAAAACAAACACAACCTACGTAAAAGTTATCATAATATGCAGAGGCTAAAGGAAAAATCGCATCTATTTGTCGGGGATAGAACCCCAGTCGTCCAGTCCGTAGTCAGCCACTATACTGACTGAGCTACCCAGGCTCCCACCTGAAGCCCAATATTTAATAATTCAGTCCGTACCTCAACGAAAACACGACACTTCTCCATTACAGACGAAACTGGTTAATGCCGTAAAAGAAATAAATCCTATGAAACCGATAAATTCAACGGGATGGCAAAATCCGGCGCTATTGATTATTAAAGCAGATGGTACATACCACTGGGATTGAAAGGGTTCATTTAGGAAGACAAATGATTACTTCCTAGTTAAGAGAATCCTTCATGGTGTAAGAAATTGGATGCTATATACTTCATAAAAGCCAATGACAAAACATAACCTCACAGCATATCTGATCTGTAGTGATAGTCCTAAAAACCTGACGGGGGATCCACGAAAATAACCAGGGCACTATCCACAGCAGACTGTGCATCACAGACCAATTAAATTTGGACAGTCCCTTCAAAGTTGTATTATTCATTTCACAATAAATATTAATATTTACAGTAAATAGATACCTTATCTCAAGTATCATTCCAGTATTATTATGGATATTATTATAACACATAAATACTAATATCAAGTATATAAAGTAGCATTATATTGAATATTTTTCAATCTGGGGTTGGCTGAATGCAAAAGGTCTGTAATTCACAGTGTAAGAAATTCTGATCTACAAATTTAAACACTCAGTCATCCATTCATGCATTCATTCTACCTGGCTTTTATTCTGTCCTTTTCTTTAAAACACTGTAAATATTTCTTCCAGCCTCACAGACTGTAAAGCTACTGTTACGAAGTATAAGTTTTGTGTTTAAGGTTAATTCAGAAACTGAAGAACAAAACAATTAAACTTAACAGCAAGGTAAATAATATATCTACAAAAGACACATTTAAAAATAACAACAAAATAGAAGAGAAAAGCGTATCTGTCAGGATAATATTCTTCCCACTGCAATTTCTAGCCTACCAATAATTAAGGAGTAAATAATTCCTCCAAGTGCTTTGCTAAAAGATAGTACATTAGTAGTAATGATAATAAGTTAGGATGAATTTCAAGTTTTGACTCTTCACCATAAGACGTTCTAATTAAAGCCATAAAAATATTCTATTATATACGTAAAATAATCATCAGCACAGCAGTGTTGGCAACATTAACATACAAAGTCCTAAAACAGTATTAAGTACAATACATGCAAGTAAATAATTTCATATTATGTAATAAGTTATGTACAACAAATTCTATCCCCTATCAATACAGAACACAGAAGTGCTGAACACTGTTGGAGATAGATGGACTGTACTGCGGGACTTAAAAAAGAATTTCGTTACTTTAAAATTCTCATTGCACAACAAATGGAACTGAATTAAAGAGACTGTCCTACACAGTTCCAGACACTTTTCACTTACTTTTAAACTAAAGCAGGAGTCACTTAGAACTAACACAGCAGCACACACGATACACATACCAGTAACAAATGTACACTTGGAGTCCCACACAGCATCCCGACATATAAACGAATCGACGGTCGGCACGATGTCCATAACCAATACCTAACGAGAAACTCAAAGTTACGCCTGAGACTACTGTGTTTTCAGATCATGATAGCAGGGGTAAAAATAGCTATCCAAAAATAACAAATTTAATAAATTCACAAATACTGCAATAAAACTGTCCAGTGCTAATGCATATCTACTGGCTGCGTATTTACAGTGCTGCCATAATTAATCTCCTGTATGCACGGCATAGGAGGAACCACCGAGCGTAAAACTCGTGTCACCTACACGAGTCGTGTGATGATGACGTACTGCTGCAGGGTGCGAAATTGTACATCTTATACAAGAACATATGGCATACATCATTCAGTACACTACTGAAGTAAAAAGAATGCACATAACAACTCACAACAAAAAGAAAAAGCTATACACAGACAAGAATCCATCAAATATCTGAATACTGGTATGATACAATGTGATTAAAAATGGCACTGAAGCACAATAATGCTTTTAAAAGTCTAGTTTCGATATCTACAATGACAAACTTATGCTAGAAAATGAGATGGCAACAATATGAAATAAATTGAACACTTGTGCACCATCGTTATTTATAAAGCAAATAACACCAGCATGCCTCATAAACTGAAGAGGTTACTTGGGATGGAAGTACCAGCTTCCTCTGTTTACTGAACCAAATGCTCCGTCAACAAACTTGTTTCATCACAGAACCAAATCTTTCTGGTAAATTAGTAGCATGGCAGAAACAAGATGGAGACCATGACATTTTGATGGCACTGCAGTTACCATAACTTTAATATACTTCTGTTTCCCTTCCATCAACCATAATAAAATAAATGTGCATGAATATTAAATTAGTTATACTTGGGTGCTAGTTGAACAACTAAGGATTTCCTTCATGGAGCACAACCAAGAGTTAATTATCTTCAAGTATAAATAGGCTAACAGAAGCTACTGACACACATTCTACCACTAGATTCACTCAAAGCAGGTTTTCACAGCCCACTTCCTGTCAAATAAAAACTATAAGTAAGCAGTAATCAATGTGTGTACTAAAGAAATCTGGCAATGGCACTGTATGCCATTAACAATTAAATAAATCTTGAATACAGAAATAAAAATTTGAGATGTATATACAATCAAAGTACAAAAGAAAAATTTTGTATGTGATGTTTAGTGTCATACACTATTCACAAAAAGAAATATAAACTTATATACTTTCACGTTTCATTTTCTAATTAAAGTCATTGAAATCACTTGAGTATTCTGCTGATGCTGCAGCATTTCTTAATACTGCCTAAATTAATACCATCCACAATAACGATAAATCAATAGACAATATTGGTGATGTACCAAATCCAGCTGAGAAAACTGGTGAAGATCATAAGTACTAGAGTTTGACAAGTGTCAAATTCCAGTGCTCCGGATCATTTATTAACAACACAATCTAATACTAGGTACTGCCCCATCCCAAGCACTCAGACCATCTCAACATTCCCAGTGAATCATCAGATTCACCTCATATAAGGGATTTATAATCTCGCACCCTGGCCCTCAAGCAGGATTCTTACAGACAATGCAAGAAAATTACCTGCTGTTTGTACAATCTGCTTCCACATTTCACTTCACGTAGCATTCCTTTATATAAAATAAACAGCTACCAGACATTCATAATGGGCAAAGCTGCCAACTGAACTTACTGGTTCTACTGTCTTCTCGATCACAAACCTGACACAGCCTATGATGTAATTCACGGAATACAGTAACACCTCCCAGGGCTTCTAGGAAGAAATGAATGAATCTGGAAAGGCATAAGAAACTAGATATGGACAACATGCACACTGGGCACATTTCTCTTCCTCACATGCATATTGGCTATCAATAAATTTAGAATATGTGAAGGTCGTACTACATGTGGGAGTGAAAACAGACTTGTACTCTTACGTTAAAATCTGTTACGGGATTCTTACAAGCAAATGACAAAAACAGTTCAAAATTCGGCAAACTCCTTGGCACACTTCTCAGTAGAAGAGATTCGAAGTGCTTCCTCCTCGTAGTCGTCAAAGTTGCTTGTATCACCAGGTCCCTTGCAACGGGGGATAAAAGGGGCTTCTATCTTCTTCTGGAACACAGCAATCCAGTCAGTTGAGGCAAACCATTTGTGGCCCTTGATGTCGTTGACACCATTTTTGAGGTTGCCATAACGTTTTGTAAGGTCCACTTGCAGCAGATTCCTCAGCAGATCCTTGAGATCCGAACCAAAGTGTGAAGGAAAACGTACTTTGCCTGACACGATTTTCTCATAGATCTGGATGGGTTGGTCAGCAAAGAATGGTGGATACCCTGCTGCCATTTCATACACCAAGACGCCCAGAGCCCACCAATCTACTGCCTTGTTGTAGCCTTTACTGAGAATGATTTCAGGTGCTAGGTATTCTGGCGTTCCACAGAGAGTCCAGGTTCGGCCCTTGACTCGCTTGGCAAACCCAAAGTCTGTGACCTTGAGATAACCTTGGGAATCAATGAGAAGATTCTCTGGTTTGAGGTCACGATAGATCAGATCCAGATAGTGCAGGTACTCAAATGCCAGTACAATTTGTGCTGCATAGAATCGTGAATGTGGTTCACTGAACCGCCCCACCTTGCGAAGATGAGAGAACATCTCACCTCCTGGTACATATTCCAGAACCATATACAGATTAGAATTGTCCTTAAAATGGTATTTAAGGCTTACCAAGAAAGGAAAACTGATTGCCTGCAGAATTCTTTTCTCATTCAGTGTGTGTTCCACTTGCTTCAATTTTACTACCTTCTGTTTATCTAAAATTTTCATGGCAAAATATTCTTTTGTTGGTTTGTGTTGCACAATCATAACCCTGCCAAAAGAACCCGTTCCCAAAGTCTTTATACGCTCGAAATCATCTAAACTTGCTGTATTCGTGGGATTTTTCTTCCACTTCTCTTCGAATTCCTCCTTTGCCTGGTCCAGAAATTCCTTGACACTTTCAGCGGAGTCACCCTTCTTGTTGGCCGTAGCGGCATTGCCCATGGTTTTAACTTGTAAACCTTCCAGGGCTCCCGATGGCTTCAAACAACCCCTCTTTTTGCACCAATACTTCAGAACCTTGGGTTCTGTATTTTTGTTTTTATTATTATTATTATTATTGTTGTTATTATTAATAGACCAATTTGGGTCCGCTGGAGGCGGAGGTCAGATCTAGAGTTCCTAGTCCACCTACCTCGTCAACACAACCACTGAAGTTGCACCAACATCTTCATGATGGTTAAGAATGAATAAACACGAAAATGTTTGTCACAGACTTACAATTCACTCACACACAAAAAGTAAAATACTCCGCCAACCTCTAGCGTTAGAAAATGGCCATCTGTGGAAAATGGCTACCTGTACCCAGGACACAGACCGAGATGGAAGTGAACTTCAAGTACAACATTTCTCCATCAGATAGTACCACTTAGCAATCATTCAAAGGTCTTCACAATATAGTGCTGCCTCATCATGACAAAAATCTGTAACTCCTGCCAGAGAATTGTATTTCTTGTATCGATCAGTCGATATTATTTTACTTTTATTACTGTGGTAATAAAACATGAAAATAAATTATACATCGTAATTTGTTAAACATGGCATAATAATTTGTTGCTTTCTACATTTTATAAATTATTCACACCTTTCTTTAATTCAATAATACAAGCAGCAACAATCTTGAACAAGGTCATCGGTGGATGAACGTACATTGCCTGAGAGTGCTGCCGTTTCTGGCGAAGCGTGGCAACGTCTGATGGTAATTACAAATTGCTGCAAGATTGTATCGAAATAACTCGCAGATTCTTTATTTGTAAAATTATCTTGACCACATGGACAAAAATAGCAGCAGACATTAAACACAGGCACGACCGTTACTTCAGAGCTGGCGGCATAATCGTGTAAACGAAACGAAATGTGTTTTCTTGTGCTCTTTTCTGTCAACTGCACTTATTTCATGATTCATAATGACAAAGCGTTTTCATTTCATTTTGTTTGTTAGTGAACCAGCATCTTTAAAATCTTCCATGCATTAGACGTGGAAGCTTCAAAACTTTTAATTTATCACGTTCCACGTAATGTTTATTACCTGCAGTTTCCCGCAGTGCCTAGCCGCTGTCTAATAGTAAGTCTGATTCTTTTATTTTACGGTAAGAAGTATTAAATTTCGTTATTGTCATTTAGTTCACTGAGTTTACATAACATGACGTGTTCCAGTGATTCCTTTTTTAGTTGTTTATTTAACACTTTAAATTAAAGAGATTTCAGATGGAAATATGATAAATCATTATGGGAAGGTAAGGATTTTGCTGGAAGCGGTGGTATCTTGTTTCAGGGTGGAATCTTGACATATTTTGTGCAAACTGAGAGCATTTGTAAAGGATGAGGATAGTCGATAACTTGTCCGAAATTCGAAGTTGGTATCTCACGAATACAAACGCTTAGTAAAACTGTGTTTTGGAAATATTTTATAGAATATTACTTAACTCGAATCAGATACCTTTTATTTGACAGACAATTCAGACATTGATTTCAGTGATATAATATTTACTTTTTCATTTGAAATGCTGCGCTCCATATGTATGTATACCTTCACGTAATATTTCTTATTTTATCGGCTAATAATTTTTCCGTTAAATATCAAAATTCGCTATGCCTACGAGCTTATTTAAAAATGTTGCTTCTTGCTCTAATTCTCATTTTTCACGTTTCGTGACAAATATACGGCATTTCAAGAACCCTTGTATAAGTGACTCAGTAAAATATACGAAGGAACGGAAGTTGGAGACATTATCTTTAAATTTCTTTCAGAATGTTTATCCACTAGGTCAGTGACCTTTAGGGATAAAGAATGACAGCCGTAAACGATTATAACCTGAATAATAGATTTTACGATCTTATGTGTCTTTACTTTCTCTCTTCATGGGTAGATTTATTTGTAACTTGACTCTTGTTGTTTTCCTAATTACGGTATTCCGGAGGCCTAATTTCGTAATGTTTGTACTTCGGTTGCTATTTTCTTGAATGTTGCCTCTGAGCACAGACTTCTCCAGGCGGTCGGTCGCTCACTGACATGTCCAGCAGTTTAAGAAGGCATGGAACAAAAAGATTTACTAGACTAAAATGACACAGCAGGGTAAAATAATGCGTCTGTGACATGTAATCCACGAATTATTTCAAATTTGTCACCACTAGGTTCTCATATTCGCACTATCCTAAAAGACACAGTTATATGATATATCTTTGATGAATGCATTCTAATTTTAAATTTCGCGCCATTACGTTGTTCAAGTTGGTACTCAACACCACTGGAAAATGGCGAGATCAAAGAGCGCGGTTTTGAAGGTATGTGTGCAAAAGTAAGTTTTCTAGCGTTTTAGAGCAAAAGCTTATCAATATTGGTAGCCTGCGATGTGTAATCTACATACTGGAACAGATATCCAGTAAAATTGTTTAGGGAAATTCATCACTTTCCCTGGTCGGTCAATGTTTCTTGAGTGTGTTTTGTTATGGTTGGGAAAACAAGTGCAGCCAACTTCGGGTTAATGACGTGCCAGGTCTGTGTCACAACTCTGCACACAGACCTAATAGCATAGGGTATTTTCCTTTCTCAGTCGATATGCTGTACTTGCTTGCACTAGATTTAGTGCTTCCAAACTTTATTGTACAGGAGTTGACGTTTGCTGCATTTTGAACTTGGTTTTTTTAACGTGTTTTTAGTTCGTAATTTTTATACTTCAGTTGCGATTTTCCTAATTGCACCTGAGCACAGACTTCGCCAGGCCGTCGGTAGTACTTCTCCACGAACAGCAAGTTATGAAAGCATGGAGCAAAAGCTGAGACTAGCCTAAAATGGCACTACTGGGTGAAATGATACGTCTGTGACAAATGTATTACCCGTTTTTTTAAATTTTTGTGTCATTAAGTCGGTCATTGTGGTACTAAACTCCAGTGATAGATGGCGTGATGAGATAGCGCTGCTTTGAAGCCGTGTGTACAAAAGTATGTTTACTGGCGTTTTACAGCCATAATTTATCAACATTGGCAGCCTAAGATTTTTGATCAGTTTACTGAGACAGATATCCAGTGAAGACTTTTTAGGTAGGTCATAATTAATTCAAATTGCTTTGATCTGTGTTTTGGTTTCCAAAACAAGTGTAGCCAACTTCGGATTAAATGACTGCCAAGTTTGCCTGTACTCTCTACACAGACATAATACCATAGAGTACTGCCCTCTGTCAGCCGATATTTTTACTTGTTAATGCTCGATTTAGTGCTTTCGAACTTTATTGCACGGTAGTTAACTTTTATTTAATTTTGATCTTGATTATTTGAGCGTGTTTTTATTTTGTTATTAATAGGAAAGTGCTAGAGATGGCTGGGTTCTGCTTTTACTGTTACATAGCTCTGTTTTCTGTTTAGTTCCACTGTGCCCATGTTCTTAATCATAAAAAGATAACACATTGTGTTATCTATTGGCAAACATAGTAGTTTATGACAAGAATGTAAGTATGTCATTTTACCGAGGGGCGTGACCAAAAATAACAATCCTGCAGATTTTGAAAATATTTTGTTAAGTCTTTAAGAAGATTCATTGCATATGTTAGACATTTCTTCATGCTGTAGATATTTTAAAAGCATGCAGTCAACAGAGGTCAATGCTAATGTGCAAAATCAATGTATGTTTATAGAAGGTCATTTTAGGCTAGTCTCCCCTGCCTCCACTCCCTCATACACAGCACAGTGACAATTTTTAGTATTTATTTCTTGATTTACAAACTCGCTTGTTATGTTCTCTCCACTCCCAATGTTTCTGTTAAGAATGCTGTACATTTGGGTTTGGGGAAGAGGAAGGATCCGTAAAACCACCACCCACCTACCCCCTCTTCCGTTCACGATTTTGCTGCACTTGTGGTTGTAGCTTCGAAAAGAAGAAATTCCGGATCCACGTGGTTGAATGTAACTTTCACTCGTTACGACACACATTTTAAAAAAATCTTTCCTTTTTGTGTTACACTGCTTATTAATAGCGTAGCTGTCAAGAGTGTAGTGTGGCAGAGGTCACTTGCGTGCTTGGTGGTAGAACATCATAAAGTATCGTAAGTAAGTAAGCGGAACTGCTTTACCATCAGCTATCAGCTGAGATTTTCCATGGATCAGAGTCCTTCCTGAGAAGCTGAGTCACGTTTGGTTTCGAAACTCCTCGCCCTTTATACAACGCGGCAAATGTTCGTTACCGTCTTCACAACAGCCCGTCATTGGACCTGAGCCAATTGAATCCAGTCCACACCACCATCACACCTTTTTTACATCATCCTCTCATTCATGGTTGGGTACTCCAAAATTCGAAGGCTTCGCTTTAATACAGCATGGGAAAGCTTGTGAACTCATTGTCGTGTTGGCGCTGAAGAGTATATTCTCGGTGTAGAGCTGCATAAAAATGTCCATGAAACACTTTCACAACATAGCTAAATATTCGAGTCAACTTCTTGTAAATCTGGGCCACTGTTAGATGTTTTATTCGTCCTTCACACAAAGTGCAAGAGATTTATAATGAAAATATATCTCTCTGTTGACATGTTTCATAGGCAAAGTTTGTACTAGAAACTGCTGTCGAGTTTAATTGTGGCTGTTATCAATCAAATGTAACAATACCTTTACATGAAACTTACATTGAACTTTGTTGATTTTCTCAGCAGCTCATCGGAACAAAAATTCTAATTTCGTCTTCCAGTTTTAAGCTTAAAAAGTTTCTGAGTGGGAGAATTGGTGCCTTGAGAAAGACGAACCGCCTCAATATAAGTACCATTCCTGTCATAGAAAATGGACCAATTGTCTGCAGTAAACTCCGTCTACAGTTTCGGATGAAGCGTTGACCAAGTCAAAAGCCTGAGCTAAGCGCCCGCCATTCTCATCGCATATGGTGTCCTCCTGCATT